TGCTTCCAGTATTTTTATGGTGGTCTAGCTTTCATTGACTCCTGAATTCAATTATTAAATTATTGGCAATTATTGTTACAAAAACCAGTTTTAAGACTGAAAGTTTTAACATCCTTAAATTGGATAACATGTTAGTAAGAACCGTATGTAACCATTAATACTAACAACATTTGATGTATAGTACACTTCATTATTCACAGAATTCACACTAATTGTTAATTAATCAAGTATTTGAATTTTTAACTGTATTTCTAATGATGTATCATCTTATTTGAAGAGTTTTTTGGTCAGTCAGTCAATCAGTCAGTTAGCTGTAATATTGGACTGGGATTAGATGGTGGTTGGATGTAGTCAACAAGAAATCCGCACCTGGGTTTCGTGCTACTTGGCACTCGTCAGCAAGGTGTTCCTGTGATTTTTGAGGGAACTAGTGCTCCCTGGTGGATTTGATTCCGTGTCACCCAACTTCACAGTCATAGACGTAACCACTGAGCTATCCGGGCTGCGACCGACCTCCTGTAGGACTGAAATGTAGTCACAATTGATTGATCAGTGTATGATGACCAATGTCATGCGTGTCTAGTTCTTATTATTAGTGCAGATCGAATGCTATCGACCATGTTGCAATGTGGCCATCAGTCTAGGTGACGAAACCCGGGTCCAGGGTTTCCTGTCGACTACCTTCAACCACCATCAAATCTCACAATAGTGCCCGCAATGTCGAGTCAGCTGGACTGGTGTCCACGTTGCAACATGGTTGATAGCATTTAATCTGCACTAATAATAAGGACTAGACACGCATGACATTGGTCACCACCCAGTGATCAATCAATGCATCAATCCATGTTTACACACCGTACTCATGAACACAACAAGATAATCAAATAATTCATGGAAGTAGTTACTTCATTGATAGTTATATATAAGAATATAATACATAAAGAAAGATATAAATCCATTTGAATTTGATTGTTTAAAGGGAATACAAACATTATGCATACACTGACGCCATTGTAATCGATTCTAAGTCATATCATCTAGGTTAAATAAATCTATCCTATACTCTTAATATATACATATATGTTTATGTAACCTAGATTAAAGAAATGTCCTTGTAATTATTGATTCTTTTTCTTTTTTGTTGTTGCGAATTATTCTTCCTTCGCATTTTCTCTCTCTCTCTCTCTATCTTTCTCTCTTTCTTTCTTTCTCTCTCCTGAATTATTCATTATTTTTTCTATTATATTATTGTTATATTACTTATTATATACTAATAATTATGTTATTTCGATTTGTTCAACTCGTGTACGTGTTTCTATGTTTCCGCCATGTTGGTTTTTCTTGTAAAAAAAAAAGAAAAACAAAAAGAAAAACAAAACAACCCCTCCTTCAAAAAATAACAAAGTAGAGTTAGGTAATTAATATTTGTTCAATAACTAGGTTATAACAATCTAAAATACAAATAATTATGTATTATTAGTTATATTGAAATAATATTAAATAAGTAAAATATATTATAAACATATAAAACATTGGTCATTAGTTAGTACTTAGTTCATTCATATCAGAAATGGGATTTTATGGATATTATAGTCATTTCAATAGTTAAGATTATGATTAAATTGAAGCTAGATCATAATGGAAAACCTGGAAGTACTGGATGGCTATTTCGTTTGATTATGGTAGTGTGTATCTATGATCTCACCTCACGAGATTCGAACACAGGACCTATAAGTCTTGCTCATGAACGCTTAACCGCTAGACCACTGAGTTGACAGGCATCTAACAGTGTTAATGTTTAACTTTAACTAATTGATGAAATTGGACGATACATCCACGATTGTCATCAATGAATTACTATCTACCAACAGATCCGGTTGAACTGCACTGATCAATGCTTCTTAGGAAATACCTCTTGGAGACCGTCACCAGTGAGAATATGATGATTATAATTATAGAAGGGTTTTTGTGGATATTATAGTAGTTTCAATATTTGAAATCATGAATCAATTGAAGCTAGACCACTATGCTAAGCCTGGAAGCACTGGATGGCTGTTTCGTTCTATTGTGGCATTCCTCAGCGGAGGAGTAAATTCAGTAGTAAATTCTATAAATATTAAGTACGGCAAAGTAAGATCAAATTTGATAGAGAGCATCAACTCTGTAAAGAATCTGAGTAGAATATTTTATCGTGTCATTTATTAGTTACATAATGCATTCGTATGAAGAATTTATATCTACATGTCTATGTCTTAACGGATTTGTTCCTCACTTTGTTAATGTATAAACAAGAGGATTGCACAAAGCATCTAGCTTCTCGAAAGAAGTTATTATAGAATAAATCAAAGTCAACAAATGGGGTATATATATATGAATACAACTGGAAATGAATCAAAGAAGCACTAACTTCAACGTGTCAAGAGGTTCCGGGCTTTAACAAGCATCATCACGAGGAATGGATTTCCTTCGACACCCTGGATAATACTTAGGAAAGCAAAAAAAGAGAATACAGCAAACAGCTAAACAAGAACAGAGAAAGTCAAGGCATGAGCTAAATACACAGAAGCAAACAAGCAAGTGAAGAGAAGCATCAGAGCTGAGAAGCAGAAATACGTGGAAGAGCTAGCGATGACAGCGGAAGTAGCTTCATGAGAAGGAAATATATGATAACTAGTAAACCAGAGAGACCGGTTAAGAACAAAGAAGGCACACCAAACACTGAGATTCAAGAAGAGAGAAACAGGTAGCTAGAACACTTTGAGGAACTCTTGAATAGGCCAGCTCTACTGAATCCACGGGATATCAAGGCCGCAAACACACACCTTTCTACAGATATCACTCCACCAACGAGGAAAGAAATCACGATAGCCGGTCATCAGACAAATGAAGAGTGGGAAAACAGCAAGACTTGACAGTATATCAGCTGAAACACTGAACGCAGACAAGTGTCGATAGAATGGAAGGAAAGATACATCATCAAGATACCGAAGAAAGATCCCAGAAAGCGTGAGAAATCTCATAACTATTAGTGCCAGAAAAAATTTTCAATAGAATTGTTGAACCAAATGAAGGACTGAGTTGACACCAAACTTCGAGATCACCAGTCTAAATTGGTCGTGCAGAGATCGAATCGTGACATTACTTACGTTTAGAGAATCGTTTGTCATCATTATATTATCATTTCAATTGCTGTGATTAGGGTTAGATATTCACTATACAAATTGTAATTCATGTTTGATATATCTTTGTAAATTGGATAGGATGTAGCTTTATGATGTAGTAAATGTAGTGAGATTATAATTTATGAAAGATCTTTAAGTAACATTAAAAATAATCTTGAAAATGTCCATCTACTTAAATGGGATTAAATTGTGGTGTGGGTTACTTATGTCCATATAAGTAGTGTATAATGATGATCAGGTATAGAATGTATTTCAGTAGAAGATTATGAAGGAAAGAACGGGAATGGAACGCAATCGGTATGACAATGGATAAACGATGGAATCTGAGATAATTGATTGATGTTTGTAACAGGAACAGTTAGGATTGAGATGATTGGTTGGAATTTTCCAAATTAACGATTTCCTAAATATATGGTTTTCAGATTTTAGTTAGATGCTCTGTAATTTTGTGCTCAAATACATTCGATTGTCCCCACTGATATTCTTGTTCACTGCAAAATGAGATTTATAAATTACTGCAAGGAATGAAGTTTGGGATTTACAATTGATGTTCTTATCTCGAACTGACATCAGCTCTAATGACGAAATGGTATTTAACCAAATGAATGGATGAATCTTGTGACAAAATCTAAGAGCTAATCCGTGTCGGGTAGAGACAGGTATCTACCCCAGTAAAATGGAAGATGGTCGCGCAATTTCGTGCATTGGTTGATGTTAGACACTAACACCACTGGATGCCGGCTCAGTGGTCCAGTAGTTTAAGCGTTGACGTGCGAGACTGAAGACCTTGGATTCGGATCCCGCGAGTGGGATCGTGGATGCTCACTGTTGAGGAGCACTGTACTAGGACGAAACGGTCGTCAAGTGCTTCCAGGTTTTCTATAGTGGTCTAGATTTAATTGACTCATGAATTCAACTATTAAATCATATTGGTCAGTCAGTCAGCTACAACGTAGGACCAGGCACATATATGTATCGTTCCAAGTTGCCATACCGCGTTAGTACAACAAGATGAACACCGGATTCACACAAGTAGTCCAGTCAATGGTGGTAATATATAAAAGAAAGATTGCAAATAAGGACATAGTACAGGAAGAAAGAATTAGTTCATAGAAAGAAAGACGTGAAGCGATTTTAGTCACATAGTTTTAGGGAAGATAGAGAGTGTATACACGGACGACATTGTGATCGATTCTGAACCATGTCACCCATAGTCTCCAACCATTGGTTACGATAGTCATGCAGACCACAACCAGGTGGTCTGCATCTGACAACATGGCTCAGACTAGAAGTTAGTGACTTTCCTGACGGATGCCATGTTTTGGTTTAGCCGCCCCTAACTTTTTTCCAACCATCTCCAACACTAATCAGCATTATTTTTAGACATACTCAAAATGTGGCCCAACCATCTCAGTTGATGAAGATTAATAACTTCATCAACTGATTTACTAATATTCCCTAATGAAGTTCGTCTAACCTCACTATTATTTACCCGATGATCCCATCACATGCAGGCAATATTTCTAAGATATCTGTGATCAAATACTAATAGGTTACGTGTATCTTCTACTCATAATGGCCACGTTTTTCAACCTTAATGTGAAACAGAATGAACTGTCGCTTAGTATACTCTAAATCATATCAGTTTAGGGATAAAGTGTTTTCCTTCTTTTAATACATATCATTGGAAAATACCTCTATTCATCATACATTCTATCTCTTAGTATGTATATGTAGGCATTTCTTTGATTACATAATCATCCATATATATATATATATATATATATATATATATATATACGTATTTCTTTATATTAGGTACTTCAATCATTAGTGATTTGTTTTCCTGTTATGGATAAACAATTTACACAATTCTATTGGGATATATTAAATAATCGTTATAAATTAAAAAAATCAAAATTTACTCATCATTTCCCTGGTGTAAAAATGAATATAACAAAATCAGGTAAGTATTAAAGTAATTCATTTCAATATTTATTTATTATTGATACTAATTGTAACCTATGATCTGAATTCAATTAAGATCATATGATTGATTATTTTTTTTAATTGAGATCATGAAGTGATTGATATTAGATCACCATTGAAAACCTGGAAGTACTGGACAGCTGTTTCGTCTTATTGTGGAACTTCTCGCTCACAGGATTCGAACCTAGGGCATTCAGTCTCACACATGAACGCTTAACCTAATCGAACAGTGAGACGACATCCGATGGTGTTAATGTCTAATCTTAATGGTGATCTAATATCAGTCGGTTGATAATCTCAAATAAAAACTTAACAAACTCTACAACTCCTAAACTGATGATTGATTGTTATTGAAATATATATATATATATATATATATATATATATTTTGATTATCCCCTTACATAATTATCGACTAAGATCACATTAGTGAATAAGAGAAATAAATAAGTCAAATATGAGAATGAAGTTTTGACTATGTATATTTCATGCACTTATTGATCTGAACAAACAATCAGAGGAACAAAGCGAAGGAAGCGAAATGTGAGTGTAGTGAAACAACGCTCAGTGAAGAAGGCACATGAGCCAACTCCATCTAATCAAGCGTTAATTGATATTTATAGCCAGATAATAATAGATTACAAATATGTGATGAATAATAAGTGTACAAACATATATACGGTCATATAATGATATATGACTACTGAAGAAGAATGGATAAATTGTTTTCACTCGGTGTTTTTTACTTGTATCTTCTCAGGTGGCTATCACGACTTATTAGGTAGGTGGATAACGCGATGGAGCTTGAAGCGAACGGTACCGGGTTTGACTCCCAGAGTGAACATCAATTCTGAGATTCAGTTACATCTAGTTGACGAGTCATAAATAGGATAAAACGTCTGTACTGAACTCCATTACTAGCCATTATCCATCTATGGATAAACTGGCCTGTTCAGAAGTTAGAATAAGCTACGTGGGCTTAATATAGTAATCGAAACTACAACACATTCTTGGTTAAATACTCTCATAAATTTTCTAGTCAGAATCTTGATAACATGTTAGTATTTTCGTATGCGATGATATGAATCTATAATCATAAAGTTCACTGTTTGTTTTATAAATTGTTCAGTTAATATCTTTTTTAATGAGGGAGTTGATGGTTTAATTATATCTGACACTGTTTGATGAAACATATTGATGAGCACTTCTAAGAAGAAATGATAATTGGTTCCTCTTGGTTGTTAGCATACTTACAAAATGTCTCTCACTTTTTGGTTAAATAGAAGTATACTTAGTCAGTCAGTCAGTGACAACGTAGAACTTCGTACGTACGTAGCTCGGTTGTGTCATCACGATAGGTGAGCCCGACCACCACGTCAAGGTTGCAGCTACAGTTGGGTTGAAGTATACTTGTACTACAGGATTTCAAAATGATAGAGATTTACAGCATAGGTTGATGTTTATAGTAGATTTACGCTTACTTACTTAGATACATGAAGTGCAAAGTTTTTTATTGTTATGCTAAACAACATCATCAACATCTACTTCAGAATCATAAGAAGATCTAAATGACATGTTGAATATACATTGAGTTGACTTAAATTGACAGAATACAATATCAACATTAAACTAGTATTTATTTATTTACTTTAACACATAGGTATTGGTACAAAGAGGGACCAAATACATATGCGCAACACGAATCTCAATTGATTTGTGTGAGGGCTCTGATACTGCACGGGTGCCCAAACCGAAGCACGTGGTTTTCTTAGGAGGACACACCCCGACCCTTCGACCTGAACGTCTGACCCACAAGGCAGTGGAGCATCGTAAGGAGATGCAGTCCCATGGTAGCTGGTGACCAACGATTGGTTCATACTCCATTTATTCCTTCAGGATACTGGAGTTAGCCCATGTGCACCATTGGATTGACATCCGGTTAAAGTGCCGGTCATTTGCTTTTGGTCCTCTCAATTTCGTAAAGAATATCGTGGTGCTAGAAGTCAGTGAGTAGGTCTTCCGTGGCAGAGGCTATATACGCGTGGCCATGTGAGAGCATTTGGAGAGGGAGAGCGGACTCTCCCCACTTTCGGCCGTACCAGGGCATTAAACTAGACGATAATAGGAAAGGCCATTAAATTAAGAAAATACATTTTATACTATTAGTCAATATGAATAATTGTTTTGCACTACAGACTGACTTTTAATCAGTTTGTAATGTGATTTAAATGATCTAAATAAATAATTTGATGAGACTATAATTTATGGAGGACCTTTGAGTAAAGCTTAACTAATCTTAAGAGTGTTCACTTAATAACCAGAACCAAATGAGATTTATAAACTTGTATGAGGAATTAGAATTATGATTTACAGTTGGTGATGGTTAAGGTTAGGATATAGATTTAGGGAGTTTTTTTCATCATGAATTGACATCAGCTATAATGCCAAAACTTTATTTGTCCAAGTGGATAAATGAATTTCGCGCCAAAATCCATGACCTGTTATCTTATTCGTGATTGGTTCGTCTATCAATTATACTTTCGCCAGTTATATATTCGCTAAATGATAATAATTTTCAGTTAAAAGCTAAATAATAACAGGTTATCAGCTGTAAGTCCTGCTAAGCTTAGATTTCGTGTCAGTTGTCATTCGTCATTGAGCTCCACTTGTAAACTTAAAGAAATTTATGCTCAATATTTCTGTGAATCAATCAAATGTAAATTATAGAGAGCATTAATTGTATATGCTGTCAACTGGTGTAATATCAGTACAGTAGTGCATTCATATCACTGTGTAATTTCCTTCGATTAAACAATTATATAACATCTCTTGATAGAGCTAACAATTGCCTCGTAATTTGTTTCGGAAGCGTTCATATAACTGCCTTCAGTTTGATGGATTATTAGTGATTAAATATCGATGTTTTACTAAGGGATTATATATTTGTCTAATTCTAACTAATCGACGAAATTGTGTGCAACATCCACTATTGTCATCAGTGAGCTACGATCTCACAACAGACTCAAATGAACTCCACTGATCACTGTTACTCACTAGAATTCTAGGGAAATACCTCTTGTGAAGCCAATCAATAATGAGCATATGTTGATTCATATCAGAAGGGATTTTTATGGATATTATTGTAATTTGCAATGATTGAGATGATATATTTCTTAAACATGGATACTAATATTGTAGTGAACAAGAACACCAATAAGGACAAACGAATGTATTCAGGCGCATAATTACAGAGCATTTCAATAAAATCTGAGAATCATATATTAAATCGGTAATTTGCAAAATATCAATCCATCATATCAAACTGGACTGTTCCTGTTGCCAACATCAATCCATTGTCTCAGATTTCATTGTTCATGCGTTTTCATACCAATTCGGTTTCGTTCCCTTTTTTTCCTTATTGACCTTCTACTGAAACACATTCTACGCCTGACCAGCGTTATATACTACTTGTGTGGATATAAGTAACCCACACCACACTCGTCCTCCCCTTTAAAGCATTCGTTCTTGCGGTGGTTCATGCTCACCGTGCCACATTCTTCTTTTCTGCAGTCTGTGCTACGCTCTCCGTCAAAATGTCGAGTCTGCGGCGCGCTGGCGTCCATAATTCTGTCGACCCACCAATATCTGACATCCACCTGGAACCTGGGACGTTTGAAACCCGTGCTCCACCGGCCTGCTGAGCTATCTACATCTGATGTCCGGCTAGCAGATTTCATTGTTCATGCGTTTTCATTTCAATTGCGTTTCGTTCCCGTTAATGTCTAATCGACCTTCTACTGAAATACATTCTATGCCTGACCAGCGTCATATACTACTTGTGTGGATATAAGTAACCCACACCACAATATAGAGTTTTTTTTTAAAAAAAAAATGTTTAAAATTATGCATATCATTAATCAGTTATTAATATGTAATAACTTATGTCATTATCTTATTTATTCTTTTCAAGGTGGTACTACCCATTCAGAATCTTGTTCATTTATGATTTATTCTAAATCAGCTTATTCAACTCGTTTAATCAATGCTGCTGGACGTTTATTCTGTTTAAAGAATTCTAATTCCAATAATATACCCATTAATAATCATATAAATAAGAATAGAAATGATATACAAACATCACCACCATCAACGATTACATCATCATCATCATCAATGAAACATTTTTGTTTTCCATTAAAAGATTCAACACGTCAATTACAAAAATCAAAACAATATTTATCAATACATCGTGAATCCTCTATAGTAGAATCATCATTCTATCATAATACAAATGAAATGAATAATCCAAATAAACAAATAGGAGCAATTATTGATCAACCTGTTGATGTATCCATTGTATCATTAAATGATGTAAGTTCACTTTTATTTGTATATTGTAAAGAAGATCTTCTTTATTGATATTCATAATCAGGATTAGTAGTCAACTGATAAAGATTTAATGAATCAATGGATTATAGTAGTTCGTTGGTACTATGTCAAGTTCACATAGGCTATTGTAGCTACTTGACAGATTATTCTATTCATTGTTCTCAAGTGTAATTATGATCTTACTATTGATTCACTTGTTAACCGTGACTGTTTTCATATGATTCTATGTGTGTTAATTACTTACCCTATTGATTATAGTTCTGTAATTTATTTTTGTCTAAATATAATTGTTGATATACGCTTGATTTCATCGAGTTGGCTCATTCATATTCTGTATTGAGCATCATTTTGATTCATTTTGCTCTCTCTTTTATTCTCTTCGTTTCCCGGACTGTCTGTCTAGACAGACAGACAGTAACAACGTAGAATTTTGTACCCATGTACATCAGTTCAAGTTTCTATATCACATTAGGACACAAATACAATTGTTGATTCAAATCTTATAGTGCTAGAGGTAGTAAGAGTATAGGCAGTAATCGGAAAGATTAGGGTTTGAAGATGTTAATCAAGGAGTATAATCCAGTGAAATAAATCTGCAAAGCGAAAAAAATAAAGGGACATGAAGAATTCAGAAGATTAGATTTTGCGAGAACACAACTATTGGATGCGATTATACCATTACAGACTATTTTGAACCGTGTCATTCAGGGTCTCTAACCGTTGGTTGCTATCGTTTCTTGTGGATCTCAACCAGGTAGTCTACATCTATCAACATTGCTCAGTTCACTTGTCAGTGACTTGATGGATTTGTGCTATGTTTAGTTCTGGCCGTCTTTAGCTTTCTTCCAACCTACTCGTACACCATGAAACATCACACGTCAGTGTAGTCGGTGGTTGGGCATACCTTAACACATGTCTCAGCCATCTCAATTGATGAAGTTTCACTACCTCATCAATTGACTTAACATCCTTACGTAGTACCCGTTTCCTAACAACTGCATTACTTACTCGGTAGTCCCAATCATTTATACAATCTAATTGGAGTCAGGTATAGATCCAATAAAGGATTTTAGTGTAAACAATATTGATAGATATGGACTATCTGGTTGGGATTTAAACTATACTCATAACAATTGATCTTCAAATAATTGTCGTAGTAGCCGAAATCTGTTCATTCTTTGTTTTCTTTTTTCCTAACATTAATTAATTCCATCATTTCGAAAAACTGTTATGTGCTTTTGAACTTATTCTAATTCCATAAACACGACATTCATTTCATGTTGTTGATGTGATCTGGTACGGAAAAAAAAGTGAGTTGATAGACATTTGGGTCCGCTTTAAGGAAAGAACTAATAAAGAACTAATTTGAGTATAAGAGCTTCTAGATAAGGATAAACTAAATTTATATACACAACTAATGAAAATCAGGAAGTATTGAACCCTTTCATCTTTGTCTTGGATTCCTCAGTAATTTGATGAGATGTCCAACGTGTGACTTCAACAAACTATCAAAATTGTCAAAACTTGGGAGGTGGTGATTTACTCAAATTGATATCTATCCATGAGTATAGACGTTAAAAACAACCAAGAGTTATAAGAGCCATTTGTTCAAAAAGTCTCGTACTAGTATGAAAAAGCTATCTTGTCCTTAATGCTTTTCAATGGTTGCTATGAATAATAATAATAATTAATAGCAATAATAATGATAAGATCAGTTCATTATTCCTGGAACTATATTTAGAAGTTGTGAATATGACAGTCTAACCGTGAGATATATATCATTAGTGAAGATAGACGATAGCTTTACAATAAGAAGAACTGATTGAAATTAGTAATGTAAATGATCCAATGTCAATCCTGTAATCAGAAGGTAATATCTAACATTCTCTTTTTAATGCACATAATGGTTGGATAGAGTTTCTGTGGTGTTAGAAATTTGAGAGAGTGAATTTCTTGGAATATTTAAATAAGTTTTGTAACTGATGTTAAAGAATGGATCTGTGCATCCACTCTTTGTGTTCTCTCAAACTCTAATCTTCTGAATTCTTCATGTCCTTTATTTTCTTTCCCGATTTATTCCACTGGACTATACTCCTTTAATAACATCATCAAACCTTAATGTCCCCTATCTCTACTTATACTTTCAGTACCTCTACCACTATGGGATTTGAATCGATAACTGAATCTCTGTGCTACTGTGGTATGGCAACTCTAACTGATGTACGTACGTACGAAGTTCCACGTTGTTACTGACTGACTGACTGACATATACTGCTGTATTGAAGACGTAAATGATTTACACTTTTTGTTATCTATTGCCAAAAGATTTTAATTGTTAGAATTGGTATCTAAGGATTCCAACTGTCAAACTTAGTTTTGGCAAATATGTATTTTGAAGAGATTGCCTTGATATTATGATATATATTCATAAGTGCTTATGAAAGCTAGATTGAAGCTAGAAGTGAAATTCATTTTATTTGTAACCCAGTAACTAAATATACCTAGTTCCTAATGTTATAATATTTTGTGATATAATGTGATGGTATAGTCTTTGATTTAGTCAGTTAGAACTTTACTAACGGTTGATCAATACAATTCCATGCTAAATAAAGACCAATATATGTATTCACAAAAGTTAAATAATAATGAATGAACAAATGGATTGAAAAAAACAAACAAACAAATATATAAGCTTTAATCTTGATCAGATGAATAAACCTGCTGACTTAACCAAACTCTTTGAAAACAAATGACTATCACAGTACATGAACTTGTCTTATTTGTGATTGAATAATGTTTATGTATTCATAGGTTACTAGTTTGTATCGGGATAATTACTATTTCATCATTAACTTTGGACTTACATACGAATGCACAGATCTAATCGTCAATAGAATACTAATCTCAGAAGCGGTTTTGTGGATATTATAGTAATTTTAATAGTTGAGATGATGACTCGATTGAAGCTAGAATACCATGGAAAACCTGGAAACACTGGACGTCCGTCTCATCCTATTGTAGGACTTTTCCGTGGCAGTGCGCATTCATGATCTCGCCTCGCGAGATTTGAAACCTCTAGACCACTGAATTGGTTGGTATCTAACGGTGTTAATATCTAACTTCAATTAATGCATGAAATCACGCCACTGTCCACCATTATCTTCAGTGAATTGCTATTTCACAACAGACTCGGTTGAACTCGACTGGTCACTTGTTTCTCATTAGAACTCCAGGAAATACCTCTTGTGAAACCAGTCACTAATGAAACTGATGTTAGTCTAGCTTCAATTAACTCATGATCTCAACTATTAAGAATAATAACTATAAAACATTCTAATTTATAAATCTCCTTGATGTTATTATATCTATAAATGAAATATCTTATTCATATAAGTATTTAATTGTTGACAGAACAGAATGGCGTCCACAGAGCAATACACTTCCGCTCTCCTGATTGGGAGTGACATCAAATGTAGTGAAGATATTATGAGTGAGGACAATTGAACGTATTCAAGCACATAATTACAGATTATCTAACAATCATATAGTAAATGCTTAATTTGTAAAGTGATCGTGAATTGTCTCAAAATGGCTCACACTTCATTGTTCTTGCATTTTCATACAAATTACATTCTGTTTCCATTCATTACTGTTCGATGCTGTTGTCTCTCTTCTACTAGACATTCTGTTGCTGACTAACATCATATACTACTTATGTCTATGTATAAGTAATAGACATATACTGACACCACAATAGTAATCTATTCTATATTTTAAGAATATTCTTTCTTGTTTGTTTGTATTTGTTTCATTTAGGTATCAGAATCCAATAAAAGACCAAAATGTAAAGATGTAAAATTTTCATCTTATTCTAAAGTGAATGTACATAATGAATTAGATAATCATTCAATAAATGATATAAATACAAATTCGCATTTACATAGTATAAATCTTCGACGTAATCAATCACGTTATCGTTCATTACGTCGTAGACAAATGGAAAATTTAACAAAACGTGCTGAATGGTTTTTACAACCAACTATATTACCTAAATTAACATTTACATTAAATCAATTTAATAATCATACAAATACAACAATGTCTACCATATCATTATTAAATATACATAATACTAATAATACTACTGATAATACTACTTATAATGATATTACTACTGCTACTACTAATAATAATAATAGTATTATACAAGTGATTCATCCAAGAATTTTATTCACTTCATCTACAAATGATTTATTGATTTCATCCAATTACAATCATTTAGATACAACATATTGTCAACCAAATGATACATTAATCAATAAACAAAAAGAAATGAATCTATCTAATTTATATCCACCTAGTAATTATTGTCATAGTTTTAATAATTTATTAAATCATTCATCATCATTATTAACACCACCATCATTATCATCATCATCAAATTATTATGTTAGATCACAATCTCCTTTAAATAAACAAAATAATACAATGAATACATTGATATTATCAAAGAATAATTCAACAAATCCATTTATATATTATGATATCTCTAAATATTCATTACCATTTGATGATGATGATGATGATCATCATCATCATCAAATGAATCAACATCATCGTTTACAATCTACTAGTTATGATAATTTTGATCTTATATCTTATCCATCTAATGATCATCATTATCAGAAGAAGATGAAGAAGATACATGAGATTCATAATAGAAATCAATTCAGTGATTATAATATTACATCTACAAGTATATCTATATCTAGTACAAATTATACAAATACAACTACATTATCATTAAGTAATAATAATCCATTATTTCATAAAAAATTAACATTATCATCATCAGCAGCATCAAGAACATCTATCTCAGGTTTAGGTAATAGAATAAAATCAGATATACTTTATTCTGATTGGTCAATGAATCAACCAATTAGAAATGAACTTTTAACTGATTGTGATCATCTTGTTCAACGTCCACGTAGTCATAGTACTAGTGATAATAATGATAATAATAATAATAATAATAATAATAGTCATAGTAACAATATAACTAATATACAATCATCTAAAATATTACCATCATAAAATGAATTTAATAATAAGAAAAAAATACAAAGAAAAATAATTATTAAAAAAAAGTTGATTCGTTTTTTTTTTTGTTTTTTTCTTTTTATTTATATTCTCTTTAATTCATTATTTTAATGTTTTGGATGAATTTTTTTATATACAAATAGATGAAATATTAATGTCCTAGTGAACAATATATTTTAATAGTACAAACTGTTTCATTCATTCACTCACACACACACACACACTCTCTCTGTCTGTCCCTCTATCTGTCTATCTCTCTCGTTCTTTGAACTTGGTTCATTTTGTTTAAAATTTAATATATTACTGAATTATGCTACTCATATATATATATATATATATATATATATATATATATATATATATATTGCAGGGAGATGTAACATACTCATTACATATATACATAGTGCTAATGTTACACCAATGTATGATTCTCCTTTTTTAATGAGTTCATTGGATTGAACATTCATTTAAAAAAAATAAACAAACAAATAAACATGACTTGCATTTATTTCAAATAAATGTTTATTTATTTATTTATTTGTAATTTTAAGTGTATTTTAAGGTTTTTCCACAGCAACAACAACAGCAACAACAAATCATGGTTATCAAAAACCTTGCATTTTTATAGTAGAACAAAAACATATTCACACACACACATCCACGTACGCACACATCCACCCCCACCCTACACACACACATACACACTGATGATTAGTATACAAATGTATTTTTCAGTTTCTTCTAAATGATGTCAATATGATACATTAAAAATAAAAAAAATCTGTTTTTTGTACTTTTTATGAAGATAAATCTCATAGTGATTCTCGTTTCTTTTTTTTTCCTTTTTTTTTTAATATTTTACTACACTTTTTCCTTATAATCATGAATGAATCAAGAGTGTATGTTCATGTGTGTATGTGTGTGTAGTACGAGTGTGTGTGTGTGTGTATGAGTATACATGTGCAATTGTAATTGTTTCATCATTTTCTTGCTTATATACTGTTTTCAAAATATGAAAACAAAAAAAAGAAACAAGAAGCAAAAACAAGAAAGAAAAAAGAGAGAAAAAAACAATTACGTCATTACATTTTCAAATTATTGACTTTTTAATGTTTAATTGAATCAATTGTTTTTTTCTTTTTATTAATTAAAATGTATTTTTACTTTTTTTTTCTTTATTTTTATTTTTATTTTTGTTGTTGTTGTTGTTGTTGCTGGAAATTTTATTTTAATTCTCACTAATTTCTTTTTATGCTACATTTTTTTGTGGTGAATCTGTAATTAAACAAAAAAGAAAAACATACTGTGTGTATGCAGAAAAAGAAAAGAATAGAAAAGACAAAAAAAAAGAATATTTAGCATATATATATATTTTTTCTTTTTTTTGTTTTTCTTTTTTTTCTAAAAAAAGATCAATAAAGAAGTCAATAAAAAAAAGAAGAAGTTCATCAAATTGTTTATTCAATTTTATTATTCATCATTTTTCTCTTTTATTTTTTAATGATTTATCTAATCATTAAAGAAATTGATCATTGAACAACTTTTATTAAAATAATAAAAAAAAAGGAAGGAAAGAATGAATGAATGAAAAAAAAAGAAAGAGATTTTGATGAAACATGTAATTGTAACATTGAATTATTGAATAATAAAGGTAAGAATGATTGTTCTTATCATTTATTAATTGAATATTATCATAATAAGATATTTATATTCATTAGTTAAAATCATCAGTCAATTGAAGATAATAATCATCTATTCAGTAGTGATTGACTTTAAGAAACATTTCTTGTAGTTCTAGTGAGAAGCATTGACCAGTGGAATTCAATTAGGTCTGTTATTGTTGTTGTTGTGATATCAACTCATTGAAGTCAATGGTGTATGGTAACGCAACTTTGTGAATTAATTGAAGTTAGATATTAACACCATTGTATGTCGGATCAATGGTCTAGAGGTTGATCGTTTGCGTGCGAAACTGATAGGTTCTCGGTTTGAATCTCGAGGCGGGGGTTGGTATTGTGGATGCACACTGATGAGGAGTCGCATAGTAGGACGAAACGGTTGTTTAGTCCTTCCAGATTTTACATGGTAGTTTAGCTTCAATGGACTGATGATTTGAACTAGTGAAATTTTTAAAATCTTCACAAAATCCCTTCTGATAATAATTATCCAAGAAATGAACTCAATTGACAATGATCTTGTTAATCAGAAAGTGTAATTGAAGATCTTAAAAGATATCAATTTTTGACCGATGACACAATCGTTTCACATCAGTAATATTAGATATATAAGTTTCAGAAGGTTTGAAACTATGTTGGTAATATGATGCACATCAAGTTTTCGGTAGATCTCATATGACCTTTCCTTCTGTTATGACAAAGTAGTATATATTACTACTGTTACATCTTAGTACATTTGGTAGTACTGCTTACTGTCACACTATAAGTTTTCCCTTTTTTTGATCTATTCATCAACCAACTAACCTGGATAGTATAATAGGAAATGAAGGAACAGATTTTCAAAACACTTCATTAATCTCATAACTAACATACTGTCAAGTTATCATTGAGTAGATGAATAATTTAATGATTTGTAAACTTGCCCACAAATAATTCTGTCTCATTTACCATGTGATCATGAAAGATCAAAAATGATCCAACTTAGTTTTATCCATCATGTCAGAAATATTGTTAAATAAATACATACCTACTTACACCTATTATCCTACGTGGAGGTGCATAGGTAACCAACCAGCATTCTCTATCCAACTCTGTCTTGGACAATCTTTTCCAGTTGCTATTCATCTTTTTCATATCCACTTCCAACTACCACCATAGAATGTTCTTCTGCATTCCTCTTTTTGGTTTACCTTCAGGATTTCAAGTTGGGGCTTGCCTTATGATGTAGTTTGATAATTTCTTCAATGTATATCCTATTCACTTCTAATGTCTTTTCTTAACTTTCTCTTCAGATGGAAGTTGGTTTTTTCTCTCTTACAGAAGGCTGTTGCTAACAATATCCGGCCAACGGATAAATATCCTATACTTAACACAAAAGTTAATTCTTTGAACAAATATACTTAATTTCATTGGTTGAGATCATGAGTCAATTGAAGCTAGACTACCATGGGAAACCTGGAAGTACTCGATGGCTTAAATTGACTCATGACCTCAACTATTGAAATTACTATAATATCTACGAAACCCTTTCTGATATGAATCGACATATGCTTACTAGTGACTGGCTTCAAGAAGCATTTCCTGGAGTTCTAGTGAGAAGCACTGATCAGTGGAGTTCAACCGAGTCTGTTGTAAGGTCGTAACTCACTAATGACAGTAGTGTGTGTTTCACACAATTTCGTGGATTAGTTGAAGTTATATATATTAACACCGTTGGATTCCGGCCAGTTCAGCAGTCTAGTGGTTAAACGCTCGCATGTAACATTGATAGGTCCCGGGTTGAAATCTCGCGAGTCGGGATTATGAATGCGCACTGTAACGGAGGAGTCCCGCAGTAGGATGAAACGACCGTCCAGTGCATCCAGGTTTTCCATGATGATCTAGTTTCGATTTATTCATGATCTCAAAAATTAAAATTACTATAATATTGACAAAACTCTTTTCAAATATATTTAAGTTGATTTAAATTCGAAAGAAATTGTTACATCCCTTATTATCAAACACAAATTATAGTTAGTTTAAAAATTTTACTTCAAAGATTTCATCTACTCTGTGGCTAGTCACTTCTTTCTAATTTGATGGCATTTGTAAGAAAAAAGAAACTGTTTTTTTTCTAGTTCCATCCAATTCTTGTTCATTTTTCTCATGTCTATCTCTATTTTCCGGCGTAATATGTTCTTCGCTGTTCCTCTCCTCCTTCAACCTTGAAGATTCCATGTGAGGGCTTGCATTGTGATGCAGTTGGTTGCTTTCTTCCACGTGTAACCTATCCACTTCAGGCGCTTCTTGATTTCTACCTCCGTTGAGATCTGGTTTATTTTCTACCACAGTAGATTGTTACTGATAGTGTCTGGCCAACGGATCAGAAGTATTTTGTGTACACAACTGTGAATAAACAATTGTGTCTTCCGGATGATGACTCTCATAGTTCTCCAAGTTTACACCGCATATACTAAAACTGTCTTAACATTTGTATTGAAAATCCGGACCTTGGTGTTAGTTGACAGTTGTTTTGAGTTCCAGATGTTCTTCAATTGTAAATATGCTGCTCTTGCTTTTCCGATCCGTGCCTTCACATCTGCATTAGATGCACCGTGTTTATCGATGATTCTGCCCAAATATGTAGAGGTTTGTACATCTTCTAAATCTTCTCCGTCAATTGTGATTAGATTGGTGCATGCTGTGTTGTACCGGAGAATCTTGCTTTTCCCTTTATGTATATTGAGGCCTACTGTTGCTACACTGGTCGTCTTCTGCTGCATTTGTTGTTGCGTTTGTGATAGAAAAGCTAGATCATCTGCGAAGTCTAGATCGTCCAACTGCATACTAGATGTTCACTGCATCCCGTGCTTCGTTCAGATGTTGACGTGTTCATGATCCAGTCGATCACTAGTAGAAAGAGAAAGGGTGAGAGTAAGCAACCTCGCTACTTCTATTGATATAACTAGTATATAACATGAGTCAGCATTAGAATGTCTGGCAGAAGAAGATTGAGAAGATCAAAAAGGGAAAAATGTGAAAAATGCAGGAATAGTGAAGTCGGAGACGATTGACTGATATTTTTACAAAAAGAACAGTCACGTTTGAGACAATTGATTGATATTTTGCAAATTAAGTATTTACTGTATGGTTCTCAGATTTTACTAATTTGTAATGTAATATTATCTACAAATACGTATGATTATCCCCACTCATGTTCTTTGATCGCTACCAGCATGTAAGTAAGATTCAAAATATTAAGAGTCTATAACTGAAAGTCATATGACTATGAAACAACTAACTGTCAGACTTATCATGTAGATAGATGCAGGATGAGTAGTTGATGTTATATCGTAGTGGAGATTAAATTACAAGTAACTTCGTACAACTATTAATGGACTAATATTATCTGTATATTGTTATTGTAACTGGATTATTATAAACTTCCTTTTGACCTATCGACTATTATCATACGATTTACTGTTCTTAAATTATGTTCACTTTGTCAATTACCGTCTCCCACGGTGACAGCCACTTTTTGACTTTATTATGTATAAATATTATTTCCTATTTTATGGTGGGTTGTGGTCTTCTTGGTTGGTATATAAATCAAGTATGTCTGATTCGCATAGTGGAGGCTATTATTGGCATTCTGGATTCAACTGGACGTGCTAGGTGATCAAAGGACCAATAAGGACACTAGGCTGATCAGATCAGTTGAACGTCATTGGTTTGGCACAGTGCTAAGATTGAATAAGTCGTATTTCGGTTGATGGGTAAATTACATGATAACTAGCCGAACTTAAAGTAGAACAAGTTGGAGTCTGAGCGACTGTCTTAACCAACGATTGGAAAATTTATCTGACATCCTTGTGAATCAGTTGGAATGAATCAGATGGATTCATTCTAGTTTTCTATACATCCCCAGTTCTATAGTTATCTTGTAGACCATCTACTCTATGAATCAATTCTTTCTTCATGAACATTATCGTCTATATGTTATAATTTCTATCATTATTACCGTTATCATCACTACTACTAGTATTACCAGTTCTGTTACTCGAGAGTTTATCAACATAAATTTGTGTAATATTACATTTGATTGTCTCCACTTGTGTTCTCGTTCACTACAATATTATAAACTTACTTATATATATTACAACAGAATGAGATTTTCGCAACCTAATCTTCACAATACACTAACATAAGTTAAACACATAGAAACTACTGTGCGTTTAGCTTGTAGCGGTAAACAAATCCCCAATATAAATAGTTCTGTAAGTTTTCGACATTGAATGCTGACCACATTAGTTTTAATGGACTTATCTAGCTGAAGGCACCCGGCCATGCATCCGCACCAGATCACGTGTGGAAACGATGTGCTCAACATCCACTGCAATCGCTAACCAGATTAGTTCAAACGATCCTCGATATATTGATAACCTATCAATTATATCTTTGAACCTCCTCGCTTCTCTCTTTTGATTTGACTTGGTGGGTTCGCTTCATATTAGAAAGTGTTACAGGGTGAAGCGTTGTGAGAATCTGAATACCTGTGACATTTTCAAGCTTATCATATACATCTACTATTTTTGAGATTTAGGATCCAGATACTTTGAATTAATCTATTCCAGAAGGAAACATAGGCTAAAAAATAGAATATTCTTTTTCAGAATACTTCATGAAATAATAATCAATAAAAATGCTAACTGAAGAATAACTTCTAGACTGATTTCTCAACATTGTATTTGGAGACTGTATATTGCAGAAACTTTCAATGAATTGACTATTATTATTGCTAATTCTAAGATCATAGTTGATTAAAAAGGAAGTGTCATCATTTTAATCTTTATTTGAAGTCTTAAACATTTTTCATGTTTGCAATAAGACTTTTGAATTTTAGATGAGATGAACTGAAGGTTTTTGACTTCACAGTTGATCTGGATCTTCTATTGCACAAGCAATAATAAATGCAGAATATGAAGACCAGTGTAGCAGCAGCATCTGCAGCACTACGTTTCAGTATACACAAAGAAGAAAGGATGATTTTCTGATAGAACACAACATGCACCAATTAATTCACACATGATGGAGAAGCTTTGGAGAATTTAAAACCCTTTATATATCTAGGCTGCGTCATTGATGAACACGGAGAATCTGATGCAGATATGAAAGCGCGGAT